TGTTTTAACAAGTAAACACTATTTGCAGCACCAAATATTCTCACCTCATTATCCTTCTTATTTTAACCAGATACTGTTTGTTCGTGGATCCTCCTTGTTTGATTATTGCGAGCACATCTGTGTAAAATGTTACTCCAAGACTGGGTTGGTCCAGTCCCCAATCTCACCCTGACCGGGGAAGTAGTAGAGGAAGTAGACAAGGTTCACTATCTGGGCAGCTATATCTCACCTGGCGGACGCATAACAGATGAAGTGTTGGCGCCCATACAAGAGGCCCGGTTGGTATTTGCCAACTTGAGACATTTGTGGTGCCGTCGCGACATCCGGCTGTCTGTGAAGGGTCGAGTGTATGCTGCGGCATTTGGGACAGTGCTGCTTTGCAATGCAGAGACTTGGTCATTACGGGAACAGGATAAAAATAGATTGTCGGTGTTCGAACATCGCTGTCTACGTAGCATTGCACGAGTCTGGTGGGGAAACCGGACGAGCAATGCTGAGGTTTGGCGTAAAGTTTTAGGTAATCGAGATCGTCCACTGGAGCAAGTGGTCGACCTTCATAAATTACGCTGGTTGGGACATGTGCTACGCATGTCACCAGACAGATTGCCGCGGCGAGCGATGTTTGTCGAAGCAGGTAGCGGTTGGAAAAAGATCAAGGGAGGTCAAAATAAGACCTAGTATGAGGGTATGAAAACCCTAACCAGGAGACTGGCTGATATAGGTCCCGTTAGGCTCCTTGGTTGGGAATCCCGAGATCATGATCACCAATGGTTAGAGATGCTGAGCGATATGGCTGGGTGTCGCGAACAGTGGCGCTCATGCATCTACTCATTACTCTGGTAACTTCAGTCTATATAAATGCGCTATCTTTCGCTTGACTCTGCTGTCAACATTCTGATCTACATTCTGCTATTTTATCCAAATGGGCAACCAAAACCGCCACACGGAAGTGCATGGTTAATGGTTGTAAGAACTGAACTGAGTACGCTGCCTAGGAAAATCAAATCCAGTTCATTTTAGTCATTCTTTTTCGTTTAATTAAAAGAACACTTGATATTCTAATCATGCATAGGTTAGAGAATAAACAACACATCAACGGAACTTGAAGCACCTACTGCATAATTTAGGACAGTTATTTCAGCTAGGTTTCTGCTCCATCTAGACCGGTCACTGAGCGCTTTTATCTTTGTGTTTCATTAAGTGTCTGTGCTGATACGATTATCGCTATGCCACTCGAAGTGATAGGACTAGCATGATCAAATTTGCCCGACCGAGGCACGCGTAATATGAACTTAACTGTAAGCATAGAAGCTTACACAAGGTATACGAATACAGAACGATGCGATTGATTTTCGCAATAACCTTCATTTATTGATTCATCTCTGAGTGTTATCCTCCCTACTATTTTCTGCTCTGTTCGCTTATCGCAGTCGTGGCTCTGATGACTTGGGTGATTTGTATTTACGGCTGGGTCAACTAAACCATGCACGGAAGTGCTACATGCGATCCCGGGACTACTGTACGTCACAACAGCAAGAGATAACCATGTGTCTCAATGTGATAAAAGTAAGTCCTATTTCAGTGTCCCTTTTCGTGAACAAGTGGCAGTTGCCTTTGTCATTCCGTTACTCAAGAATATATTAGTGTTTTGAGTTAGGTGCTTTCAACCTCAGCCAGCTTCACGCCGATTTTCTGTTTTCATAATTTTCATCGGGAGTTCAAGTATAAGAACGATCAGATTACCGGATAGGCCCACTTGAAGAACGGCAAGGACCATGAAACCGTTCATGTGCTTCTGTTCAGCCATTCATATACTACTCATTATAAAAACAGAAAATCAGCCCTGGTGTTTGGCTGGCTAAGGTTGGACGAATCTAACTCGCAATACTTAACATCGAATAATCGTAACGAGGCTTCGAGGCTTGTTTGTCTCATAATCGATATATATATATATATATATCACGTATTATCGTTTGACAACGAGTCCTAGTCTGGATCAAAACATCACAATAAATACTATCACTCGGTGCTCGCTTTCTCCTTTTCAATATATATATATATATATATATATACGAACCTACAGATTCGGGTCCAAATTCCATCCTCAGGGAGATTCACTTTTTGGCACGACAGCTCTTAGGAATCAAAGCAACGACTGTCAATTTCTGAGTTTAGAGGTGGGGCCCTTGACAACCTCCTCGGTGACTTTACATTAGTTCTGATTACCGAAGAAGGTGCAATAATAGTCCTAATAAGTCTCTTTCAAAACAAACCATTGGTTCTCTACTCTTCATTTCAACCAATTGCTAACCGTTTTTCATTAAAATGTTTCTCTATCTGGGAAATAAGTCATTTCCGATGAATTCGGCTGATTTATCGTTTATTAAGCAATTGAGGAAATTTCAGCCCTTTGTGTTTTTCAGGTTGCTATTTTCCAACGTGCATGGTCCCAGGTCAGTGTGCACGTAACTCAAGCTTACGGTCTCTCTGAACTACGTGACACAGTTGGTTCTGGGTCCGTGCTTTCATCAACACAATCCCGACCCCGTTCCGGAATGACCTCCTCCTCGTCGCGTGGGACACTGACTACAACGGCAACCACTGTGAGTACCGGACCAGAACGCAGTGGGACAGGATCCGCTCGAACAGATCCGTCTGCATCTGCCGCAGTAGATACAGCCCGGGGTTTCACGCGGCAGTCAAGTGACGGGACTAGTTCTGGCGGCCAAAGTTATCGGGATGCAATAGCCAGCGCGCGGACTCAGCTGGCAATTGCTGCCGGTCTGGTGGAATTGGCCGCGAGGAATTTTCGCGGGGCAGCCATGAGTTTTCTGCAAGTGTGTACCTAAAAGACAGGATTTTGATTGTATAGAGTTCAATTTTTGTTTTTCGTCTCACTGCTGCAGATTTTTGCAACCACTACGATGTGCACCACAACGTGATTTGATACGTACATATTTAAAATAAGGTCAAACGTGTCACAAAGTAACTTGTCGTAGGCGATTTGATCCGTGTGTGAATTTCCCCATCGGTCAGACGTACGTTACACATACATTAGTTCTATTCATGCAATAGTTTGAGAACCCGAACAGTAGGCCCGCAAACATAATCCTTACTGCAGTTTTAGGCAAGAAAAATATTTTCCAAATAAACATGAGATTTTAAGGGCATAGTTTACTTTACCCTTGACCACACCGATGAAGAGGATTTTCTTTTTGAATCCTAACTGACCGATTGACCCCAAGTCTTACCCATACGGCAGTAGTTCCAACGCGGGGACGTGACCGAAACACTTGTGCGTCATCTAAAGCCTTTAAGGTCAGGTTTTATTTTTTAGTTGCTGATGCTTTGGTTATCGGTCTGCCTTTCGGGATTGGCCCTTAGCCTCACGCATCTAATGTGGACGGGACAGCACCCCACTGACTCGTGGCTGTTCAGCCTACTGTACTACGGTTGGTAAGGACAAACTAACTCCACGAATGGTCA